ACTCTTACATCTTGAACCTTGATACATGGTGTCCATGACACGTAGGAATTTCGCCTGCGCTGTGTATAATCTGAAGGGCATCACTTTAATTTCGCACAGTCTGTTGGGCGTGACGAAGGCAGTTCTGCCCGGTTCCATTTGTTGACCTTGATCTGGCAGTGGCCACTCTTCAAGCCCATCGAGGAAAAGTGTCGCAATGGCACAAACGGTCTTGGGAATCATTGATTCGAGAAGTAGGTAGACGTCTTTCTTCGTCACTTCATTGAGTCGGCGATAGTCCACACAGAATCTGAGTGCTCCGTCCTTCTTCTTCACGAGCACGACAGGTAAAGCCCAGGGACTGATTGGCAATTGGAAGATGTCATCATCGAGCATTTCCTTAACCTGTTATTGGAGAACTTCCCTTTTTTTCAAAAAGACACGGTACGCCGACTGGTGGACATGTGCACGTCGCCTTCGGCACCTATGTGATGTTTCGCCACTGGTGTTCGGCGGACTTTCGACTGCGTAACAAAACATACCCTGCATTTATCGAGGAGATAAACCAGTTTCCGACGCGGTGAAGCTGGGAGCTCGGAGTCGATGTCGAAATGCGGCGGCAACGGTCTATTAAGCTGTGTTGACGAGGTTTTCTCTAAGATTGCGGTGACCACGGCTGGCGCTAGAAGCTTGTCAACGTGGCCAATGGTGGTACCCTTTGTTAGGTGATGCGGCTCTTCTCAAAAGCGACTCCAGTTCCTTTTTCAAGGAGCAGTTCGACGCTGATTTCCAGGAGAGCTTCACCGCACATGGTGCGTCGGTTATGACTATTACGAAAACACTCGACCGCGGCTGCAGGTTCATAACTCGTATCGCGGTTGACGTCGTGTTGGGCTCCATCGTCAGCAGAACAGGCTTTCGCATCGTCAACTGGTTTGCCCCGAGGTCGATGACGGCGCCATACTCGCCGAGAAAGTCTATTCCGAGGATAACTTCCCTTGGAGAGTTTTGCAGAATGCTGAACTTCTCAGGGTACGTGTCACTGTGGATGTCCACGTGGGCAGTTCATCTCCTGACTGGTCTGATGATGTGGCCTCCGGCAGTTCGTATTTAAGGTATATCCAACGGCTTCGTCACATTTCGGAGGTGGCCTTTGAGCCTACCTCTCAAGGCTGAGTAGTCTGCTCCGGCATCCCCACGTGCCGATGAGACGTGGCCGTCGAGAACAACGTTAAGATTGTTGGGCACAGTTGCAAGAGCGTTGTTGCAATGCGTGCTTTCCCTAGAGTGCGAAAAGCTTCGTTTTACTCCGTTCGTTATCAAACTCAAACGTGTGTTCTGCCGAAAAGGAAAAACTGCCTTCATTCGGCCTCCAAGTAAGACCGAGTACCTTCAACCCACCCGTCAGTTGATCTAATGGTCTTTCATGGGGGCCGTTCCCTTAACGAATTTTGACCAGGACTGTGCTATTGGCGACCCATTTATGAATCTTCATCCCCGCTACTTCAAATATCTCGATGGCCTCACTAACATCGAAACTCAATGACTTCGTCGTGACGTGCCACAACTATCGCTACGACTGTAAGTGGATTTACAGATGACTACTAATATTTTTTTCCTAGTAGTGCTCTACAACACCCCTACCACACATTAAAGCAACGAATGACAAGTTTTGTTTGAGCAGGAAATGCACGGCTGCTTCGTGAAGCAGTGCATATGCAATAAATGCTCTGACCATTGTTCTTCATCGAAAATAGCTGCCTGGGATGGAGGCCTTGAGGCGTAATTACACAGCTTTTTGTCGTGAGCGGACAACTTCGCTGCAAATTAAGCTTCATACAGTTGGCTTTAAATGGCTGGAGACATAAATCCTCCTGGGGCGTGTATAGTACATTATAGTATTTTGGTGCTAACTGCATTTCTGCACACTCCTCCTCTTACTGAAGGCTACTTCTCTGCAGATGGTGAGGTATACGGTATATTTCCCACTCAGCTGTATGTATATATGTGCAGACTGTACTGTCTAGTCGCATTTTCGCAGGAAAGAACACCAACCAACAAACCTCTTCCTCGGGCTTCCTCTTCTTTCAACGGAAAAAGAGAAAGCGAGCTGGGCGTAAGACGCGTTTTTCTATCAACATAGAGCCAACCGGGCTACTGGCACCCGCCATAACTTCGACGGACAGCGTGCTCAAGCTGCTCGGTTACAGAATCGACCGGAATCTGGGAAACATCACGGCCCGTTTTCGCAAAGACCACCACCTGGCCAACACCGGTGCCGAATTGCACAGCTCCAACACGGGCATCCTGGACTCCTTTCTTCACCGGAAATTCGCCCGGATGGTCTATATGCTGGGCAAGTAGGGAGCCCTCTCCAGGCGATCGAATCTGGCCTGCTAGAAGTCAGCAGCACATTGCGGCCCATCGAAGACCATCGTCGCGGCGATCGGTGCCTGACGCTCTTTTTCACCCTCTAAGTCATCCCCTTATATTCCTTATCATTCAGACGGTTAATTTGTACTATACCATTCATCGTCATGAGAAGTGGCGCTGGAGGTCTTCAAGGTATGGGCGATTTGACTTTCTGCGGCGCTGCGGTTTTCCAAAGCTAAAATGAATACATCATAACATATCATAACCTCTATGGGCAACAGAGGTTCCCCAGCAGTGGGTACTCGCCGTCCAGCCTGGAGGGTATGACACAAACACATACCGGTAGAAAAACTATATATATGTGAGACTGTTACAGTAACCACTTATCGAGATAACGTAGCGAAAACTAAATAAAAAGCAGGAAAAAAGCGTGAAGAAAATATTGTAAATAATGTGCATTATCTAATGAATGCACTTAAATTAAAGCTTTTATTTTTATGTTTATTGTTAATTTTTGCACGACCTTCATCACAAACTAAACATTCACTCATAATGTTCAATTCCATTCTAGATTATTTTAAGTCTAGTCTATATTTTAGGACCCGAGCATATCATCTTCAAAAGGTTCATGTGGCATAAGGTAATGCTGTACTAGGGGACAATAAAAATGAACTGCAATCCCTATCATTTTTGCAAGGCGGTTCCGCTCTGACCGCTACTATAATTACGCTGGTACATCCCACCAGCAGTCCGTTTCATTTGCACTTATTTTACTGCTCTCCCAATGAGCTTGCACGTAAGTTGCACGCTATGCCATACAAATTGTGGCAGAATACAGATTTTGGCATAGGTTTTGATTGCTATAGTTGTGCTCGAGTTTATTCCTTCGATACGGCATCTCAGCGTTTAGTTTGAATACGATTGGGACTACTGAAAACACACACACAAATTTTAAAGTCACCTTCATATTAATGAAGAAGGATTCCTTTTTTTTCTGGCTGAACACTTTTCCATAGGGCCCGCCAGGTTGCTTTATCCTGACGTAAGCGCAATCAATGCACGCAGTATAACGCATGACACTCCATTTCGTAGAAGTCCTGCATGTTCGTGTTGAAGTTTGTCGCGCCATCCGAGCACATCACCTGGCGATTGAAGAGAAGGGCAAGGAGCCGAGAAACTCACTTTATAACCCGGCACTCTGTCTGCTCTAGCACGTTCAGAAGGTCGCCCGTAACAACTTGGAACCTCCCGGCACCATAAATTTTCTGAGCGACGCGGCGTTGAAGCATCGGTTTCAACGACCAGTCCTGATTAATCGCGTTCCCCTCCACCGGCACGGACTGGTGTATGCTCGCGACGGTTCCTCTCATGAAGCAGTACCACGCGAGTAAGTCGCGCCCATGAAATTAGTGCGAGTCCAGGTGACTCCTGGTACTCCGTCTTTAGACATGTCTCGAATGGCTGTCGTCTTAGTCGCCTCTTTTGCTTTCGAAAGGGTGTTCACAAACTCCGCGAATGACTCGCCGGCCACCACAACACTCCGAACTGACTTCGAGGACCTTCTAAAGGTTCTGGCGGAGCTACCTTGCGATTCGCGAGGAAATGGCCGAGTATTTTCTCCAGTCGATGGGCGTTTGGAGCCGAGACCGGCTGAAGAACAAACGCGGCCTTGGATGGACTTTAGATGAAAATTTTCGACTCGAGGCTTATTTTTGAGTGTGTTTGTACACCCTTGAAGAGTCTACAATCGTCGAGGGAGCGATGGCGTGTTTCAAGACAAAACCCGACTGGAAGTTACCTTGTACCTTTCTGAACGTCACTCGGAGTACGGCGTTTGAGTGAAGAGGTACCCCGATTTTCAATTTGTCCTCTTTTTAATAAAGAAAACAACGCACACAACGAAATTAAAATAAGTTTTGTTAGTTTTATCTTTTTAAAGGGCCTAATTGCAGCAATTAGTTGTCCAAAATCATGGAATCGTTACTCCGCTCATTCAACAAATATTAAGCCCTCGATAGAACATATTCTTCTCCTTGTAGCTTGGTTTCTTTAATTCGAAACCAACTTTCATATGGGGTTTGTCGGTTTTCTTCATTATTGAAAAAACCGTCTCAGGGGCTATTTGTTGGCGTTTATCGGTATTCACCGAAAAACGGAGCCCTAGTTATAACACAAAATTTCTTTTTGAATATTAGCTATTCTCAACAGTTCTTCCTATAGTTTCATATTACATTAATGGTCAGCTCTGTTTTGGATTAGTCAATCGACAGTGAATAAGGTATTTCCCTCAATAAATATTAATTAAAATTGCAACAAAATGGTCTTGAATGCAGCAGCAGAGTTTTTTTATCACACACATATTGAATGGTTTTACTTCCGGCGGGTAATTGTATGTAAAACACTGTTCTCAGTGCGACCAGTGGCAAAGACGTAAGACTATGGGTTTGTGAATATGTTTCATTCCTAAAACCACTCGCGTACAAAAGGATACTCGAAAGCTGCTCGCTCCCTCTAATTTGGTCGATAGCAGTAAATACTGTTTGTGAGGTACAGTACCGTTTAGGTAATCAATTTCCTGATAAATTACCTCGTTTTTAGCGCTACCTTTATTTTTATAGCACCTCACAAAACGATTCATAAACTTGCAGGTTAATTCTCGCTGATAATTATGAAGATTTTTCCTCTGAAGATGCCGCTGTAAAAGGTGCGTATTCTGTTTCTCTAGATTATCTTAGAAAAAATTAGTATTATTTTAGCTCACAGGTACTATTCACAAATATATACTCTGTTTCACCTTGTGTTGTACCGCAGGAAAGGCTACAAGCGCGAGCTCCTTGCTCTAGGGCACATTTCGGCAGCACAAGCTCCCCTGCACCAAGGGCAGCTGCCAACGCCATGAGCTCGCGCTTCTAGCCTTCGCTGCGGTACAACATAAGGTGCTGTAACGCTTGTTCACTACATGTACACTCTCCGGCGATATGAAAGACCCATTCGGTGCGCGTGGCAGAGGCGGTGGCTGAGGGGGGCGCTGCTCGCACTTTGGGCAATTCCATGTCGCTGGAAGGGGAGGCGTCACGCGGTGCTCAGCCGCGCCAGCTGGCGAGCCACGTCGAGACGTGCTTGAATTTTGATTTCCGTTTGGCGGGAAAGCGCGCTTTCTACAGGGCATCAGCATAACTGTAATCTTGGTTTTTTCTTTCGCAGTGCTGTATTTGATAATTTGCACACAAAAAAATTGATAAAAGCGCCCGTGATAACGAGACTTCATTCGAGCCTCCTCTACAATACTCCCAGGCGTGCCGCATAAGAAGCGCTCTCCCGCCAAACCGAAATCAAAATCTGTTAAGCACATCTCGGCGCGGCTGGCGCGGCTGAGCACCGAGTGAGGCCTCCCCTCCGAGCGACATGGAATTGGCCAAAGCGCGCGCAGCGCCTCCCTAAGCCACCGCCTCTGCCACGCGCTCCCAGTGGGTCTTTCATAATGCCGGAGAGTGTACTTACATTATAGTTTAATACCCTAGCTTACATGTTATTTCCGCTACTCGGGGATCATCGGATTTTCTATATTAAAAATGAAAATAAACATTTTTACTTTGTTGTTCGGCAGCGTGTGTAACCAATCCTAAGAAAGTTCCCACTAGATGCAGAAAGAACCATTCGCACCTTCTCGTCGCTATAGTTTATTTTAACCTAATACATGCAGGCGAGTCTTCGCACACACTGAAGGAAGGAGCAGAACTATAGCCATCCTCTAGTAAAATACTGCTGAGTGGAATAAAGTAATAAAATGGAGAGCTGGGCTAGTTGGTGAAAGTCAAACATAATGTCAATGCAATAGCCCAAAACACGGAAGACTAAGCAGAAGAACAAACAACACAGTGACAACACAGAAAGCAGTAAAAATATGTTATGTGTTGTTCGTTCCTTTCCGTCGTCTTCGTTGTTGAGCCATGTTACACTTACGTCATGTTTGCTATTTCCAACAATTGTCTATGGTTATCGAAGCGCACGCCTCTCGCTGGCCGATTTTGTGACGCTAGAAAAATGGTGCATTTATATAAAAAAAAGGTGCGGACGTACCTTATATATATATATATATATATATATATATATATATATATATATATATATATGGTGTTTTCTTTTTAAGCTTAACATAATTTTTTAGAAAAAAGCCATGAAAGCTAGAACGCAGTGCTCACTAATGCTTCTCTAGATTTGGTAAAAATAACTACCGAACACTGCGAGACAACTTTAACTGAAGTCATCAGGGCTGAGGGCAACCTATTACGTGATAACGTGCTATCACCTCATGATATCACAACGCTTAAATTATTCGAGGAGGAAAACTGGGACAGCCCATGGAGATAAAGGAAAAAAAATTGGACAAAGATAGTGTAAAATCTTTACCAACAACAGTGCGCGGACGGGACGTACCAAATAGTTTTGACCACAGTAACATAGCTAATCTCTCAAATGTTACTCTCTCCCCCGCCGAAGAGTCGCTTCTCTCCCGCGGCCTTCACTTCTGTCCGACCACGGGACAATACGAAGAATTTACGCTTCTTCAAGATTTCGATAACTTTGCGCGAAGCCTTCGACTTCAGGAATATTTTTTCCATAAGCCACACGTGGCCAAGATTCCTCTTCCTTCAACATCAAATGGTTGGACTCCTGATTCTAAGAGGGACAAGCATCTCAACCTTTACATTCAGGCAGTACAGAGGGACGTAGGAGCGGCCTATGGGAAGCGGCAACCCCAGCACTTTAATATCTCTCTTTCGGGGCGTAACGCTCTCAAGGCCCTAAGCAATAGAAAGGACATTATTATCAAACCAGCCGACAAGGGCGGCGCCGTAGTTATTCTGAACACCACTGACTATCTTAAGGAAGGATATAGACAACTTAACGATACCAAATTCTATTCCAGACTCAGAGATGATCCCACCAAGCAGCATGCCAAAATTATACATGAGCGGCTTGTCAGGCTCGAGGAACAAGGCGAAATCACCACTAACACATTAAATTCTCTGACTGCAAAACACGCCGACCCAAGGCCAATTTTATATGGTACCGAAAATTCACAAAAGGGCGACCCGGGGCGCCCCACCATATTCGGATAAGGAACCCCAACCGAACCGATATCTATCTTCATTGACAACCTAATCAAAAACATCCCGCCGACATTTCCATCCTACGTCCGTGACACAAATCACTTTCTTAGAGAAATCTCAAAATTGGAGGTACCCAAGGATACATTTCTTGTAACAATGGACGCATCGGCCCTGTACACAAACATTCGACATGCGGATGCATTGAATCGCCCGTGCGAACGTATAATGGCTACAGGAAAGATGACCTTCCAGATGGCAATGTTCTGGCCGCTTTCGCTGGTCTCGTGATCGAACTAAACGGCTTTGAATTCGACGGAAATTTCTTTCTCCAAACTAGCGGCACCGCGATGGGAACAAAAATGTCCCCAAATTACGCAAATATCTTCATGGGTAACCTAGAGTCTAACTTTCTTTCGAATGTTTTGCAAAAGATACATTGATGATATATTTATAATCTGGCCACACAAAGAAGAAGCGCTCCTTGGCTTTAACGAGGCTTTTTACTCTGAGCACCCTTCTATTAGTTTTACTCATAATTATTCCAAAACCGAAGTTCATTTTCTAGACGTCAGGGTAATAATAGAGGGCAGAATACTAGTCACTGAACTTTATCAAAAGCCGACTGACCACCAAAAATACTTCCACTTCAAAAGTTGCCACCCTCACCCTTGCAAAACTAGTATACCCTATAGCCATGGCCCACAGGTTCAGAGGCGTGCGTTCGAGCGACGACGGCTTCAACGCCAACGCGGACCAACTACGCCAAGTATTAAAAGAACAAAAGTACCCTGAACCAATTATTGACGATGCAATAAAAAGGGCGCAAGCTTTTGATCGTGATGAGTTATTAAGCGAACGATGTTCCTAGACAGAAACTGGCCGACAAGCCAACCTCTTGTTGACCTTCAGCAATAGGTCCCCTAAGGTGAGTGATATTTAAAAAAAAAAAGAAAAAAAGAAACATTTCAACATCATACAGCAGAGTGAACGCCTAAAAGATGTTTTTACAACCGTTCTCCGACTGGTGTATCGACGATCGCGTCTTCTTAATGATGAAATTGTTAAGTAAAAAAAAAAAACTGTCTCTAAGAGCACTGGGAGTCGGCCATGCGGTAAGAAGGGCTGCGAGGTATGTAAGCATGTGAAGCCGAGAGAAAACGCAGAAAGTACAAATTCCAACTTTACCTACAAACTTTACGGGAACTTAAACTGCGATACAAGTAACATCGTATACCTATTGGAATGTGGCAAATGCCATAAGCAGTACGTGGGCCAGACGATGACACCTTTCCCCTTAAGATTCAATAATCATAGGTCCCATGTAAGACCCTGCCCAAGTATTCCCCTCTCAAAACACATGAGTATTTCCGGACACTCATTCGATAAGCTTGAGGTGACATTTCTACAATCTGGTTTTAAAACTAACCGGCATCGCTAGCAGAGGGAGTCATATTTAATTCACAAGTTCAACACTATTAAAGCTGGAATCAATGAACACCCTGAAATAATGACGTCCATGCACGCAGTTAACACATCTTGAGCAGTCATATCGGTTTAAAAGTCCACAACCTCCCCTCGTCTTCCCCGGCTTGAAGATTATTATGTGAAAAAAAAAAAGATATGTACGTGTGTGTGTTGTTTTTACGCACTGAGGAGGCGGCTCGTGCACCGCTCGTACACCGCTCGGGGCAAGTTTTCTCAGAAGCAGCAACCGTTTTCTTTTTTGTTTATTTTCCCTGTTTCGGCGAGGAAGTCGAGAACCACCCCAAGTCTTCCCTGTCTTGAAGTTCATTACGTGAAAGAGGGATATGTATATGTGTTTTTTCACGGCTGGTACACCGCTCGGACACCGGTCGAGGCATTTTTCTCAAAAGCTGTTTTTTTTTGTTTTTTTTTTCTCCCGGCGAGAGTTTGGCGCCTGCAGTTCATGTGGCTGCCCCTTCTCCTCCCTCGCCCACCGCTTTGCTTCAGATAGATTTTCCGATATTGTGCGAGTTCCTTCACCAAGGTCAGGTTTATGCGGGATTGGGGGGGGGGGGGGGGGGGGGGGGCGCCTGCATCGGGGGTACCGTCAACTCTTGAGAGAAACCAGATGTTTGGAATACCACGTGACGTAGTCAAGGAGCGTCAATCTGACATCTCATGTACCAGTCTCGAAAAAGGTCTGGCTCAGGCCGTAACGTCGACCTATATGTAATAAAACTCCACGAAAACCTTCGAGGTACGTTTACTTTCCTATATATATATGTATGTATGTATGTATGTATATATATGTATGTATATAAATATATATATATATACGTGCTCCACGAGTGCTAACTTTAGTGCACAAATACGCTTCTCACGCGCTCAAAGTCTTTCTGAAAATGACTTATATAGGGCTTTTCGATCACGCCCTGCAAGTTTCTAATTGAAACTTGTGGGGGTTCTTTATGGGGGAGGTCCCTCTATACTAGTAATCGCCGCCCGATCGGTATGCGCTCCGCCCGTCACCCAGGGAGTTACACACTGCAACGAGAAGACAGCGATTGGGTTTACTGTACCTCCCGGTTGCCCGTCGTCGAGAGCCCGTAGTCCGGGCCCGCCGACC